TCTTAAATAAATGCATCACCTGGAGCAGTATTTGTCGGTTGATCGGGAACAATTTCCACAGACATGGTTGCGTATCGCACACAACGTAGTAACCACACTTGAAGTGGTAATTCGATAATTGCCATTAAGTGGGTCCATGCTCGTTAAGACAACACTAATTGTCAGTCAAGATTATCACCAGGATCATAAGCCAGGGATCAGAAACACTAAAATTTAGTGGATACTTTCCAGCTTTATGCGCTTCGAGTAGATTTCATGTAGATCCCAAGTTGTTTATGTTTATGGTCACGAGACCTGTCAGAAAAAATTTCACCGACTATGATGCAAATTTAATCTAATACGGAATTGAAAAAAGCCATAAAATTGTTTAGCAAAAAGTTTGAACGAGGCCTTCTGCGAGTGTTCCGATACTATGGGTTCCGATCATTGATATATGTTCACCAGTCAAAAAAGACTAGCCTTCGGTGTTTTAGAACTGGGGGTGAACTTCTTATCCACCTTAAATAGCCTCTTGTTTTCCGAAGTTCTGTTTCATCAACACTCTGAAACTAAGAGAGTTGATAATGGTAGTCGAGGCATGGATAACCGCCGCAGTATGATGTTATCGGTGAAGGCGACTCATATTGGAATGTGGACATTTTCAATGGGAATCTTGTACTTTGACTATGGTTTCCTGGATGGGTGCTTCAGAATATAAAGGGCAGCACTGATAATTTTAGGAACGAATCATATGAACGAGACCTTCAAAGACATGATTTAATATTTTTTTCAGCTGGGACGGTGTGATAATGTGAGCTATCCTCGTCATATAGTAGGATATTTTCGTTCCATATATTCATTACCTTAGGTCACTTCAGTTCAGTGATATGCACCAACCGGGCGGTGAAAATGACCGAAACGACGGTCTAGGATAGTGAACACACGGACGCTCGAGTTGGGTTTAGTTGGCACACCTACATGTTCCTGCACAAATAAGTCGGCTATTTAATACGCTTAATTCTGAAAAGTACTTGTGAAGACCTCGTTCAATAAATTACTATTTGGGAGCTGTTTCGGTGTAGCGGTGTAATTAGTCCTCGTATGGCTAATAAAGTTGATAGTTACGTTAGCAGAATCGGGACTACGAGCAATATATATCTGTCAGTAGTGTAGCATTAGTCAACATGCTAATAATATTATTCGTACTACCTGAAATAATAAGGACCACATTAGAGACACTGAGTGAAGTGACAGAGGGGTTTTCTCTTAGCAAAATTATAGTAGCCACTCATATCCCGCTAGGCAGGGTTACAGATGGAATTCGGTGGCTTGTTCGCCATTCTTTAACTTATTATCTTTCTATCATGTCCAGTATATATTGGTACTACTACTGCTGTGTGTATGTATTGGGTCCTTTGAGAATTACCAACAGCTGTGCGTCCGGGTGAGGTGGAAATTGACGTTCAATCAACCTAATTCAAGGAATTGGTATTCCTTCTCAGGCATCAAACTTCATGTGGAACCAAGACGTTTATAACATGTACTCATGCAAGTGCTGAAGCGACGCGTTACATACGTCGGCGTGTGTACGTCACTGTTCTGGTTCATGAAGTTTAACGTGCCATTTCAATGCCTCTGCCGTTTGCGATATTGTAGAAGATAGTTTGTGCCTAAGTCATCTATTGCACCTTGCAGTTTGAACATTTTCGAACCTTGGGGGATGCCGAAAGCTGAAAGGATTCAGCAAGCTTTGTTGTTTGGCATAGGATGTGAAAATACTAGAAACAAAGCGTAGGACTATGCTAGTAGGTAGTATTCAAAACTTTATCAACTAATGTACGGAAGAAAATGTTTTATTACAGAAAAATAATCCTTCTAATCTCTCCTAACTGCCTGAAGCTAGAATACTAATTTTGAACTTTGCGGAGGTGAATTAAAGCTCTAATCGATGATAAAATTCATACAGGAGCGGCGCTCTACCTAGAATAACCAGTGTCAAATGGCAAAAGAGGTTCGGAAAGTTAGATCTACCATATATACAAAAGGGCCACAGCAACTGCTCCGTTTTAGGTAAACGTCAGTGATGTTTTGTCCGGCGTATGACTGACACTTTATTTAACCTCTCTTTGTCGCCTGCGCCGGTATTTAAGTTGTACTAAATGCAACTTGGAGTCTCCTACATGAGTCAGTTTAAATGACCTCTTTAAATTGTCGATTTTTCTCCAGCCAATTTCTCAAATGTTTCCTACATAATTGCAGTGTTGTGGATAGCATTGAAGTCCTTGACAGATATGTTTGCAAAGGTATCTGCGAAATGTCGAATATTGGAACGGCATACGAAATTTCTGGTGAGTTTCGGCCGCTCGATGCAGAAATTTGACGTGAACCGCTTAGTAATTTCCGCGTATTATCTATAAATCTGATCCTGCTTATGTTACTCACTAACTTTTAGTAGCTTATTTATACTGTCCTCAATTTTGATCTTTTTGCCTTAAGGTATTGTTGGCTTTGGGCTCATGACGACATTGGTCAAATTCTTTTGATGGTTGGGCGTTTGTGCCGCATGTATTTCAGCCCTCGAATTGGCTAAAACACGACGTCGATCTGTATTGCGATTTTTGCTAATTGTGTACAACCGAAAATTTCTTAGATATACTCACACTCCTTGAGTGGACAGAATAACAACGGCTGGCCCGTGGGACACTTTAGTTCTGCTACCCCCGACATCCGGTCTGTTTGTACCCTTCCGACCTTTGAAAAACGACAAGTTGTCAGCCCTACGTGTAGACAACCGGTGGCCCAGACCTGATACGGACAAACGTAGGAAAGCATTTCGACTATGGGTGACCCCTTGATGAAAAATCGTCCTCTCCCTATGCAGACGTCCGTAAAATTAGGTTAAGATAATGAGCGCGCTTATAACTGAATTTCAAAGTACCTAGGTACTTACCTCTGATTTAGCTTCGACCGCCTAACTTATTCAGATGGCTGACCGACTGATGGGGTAATGGGCTTCGCAAAGCAGTTTCCCATCTCTCGACTAACTCCTTTAGCTTTTATTACGTCTCCTCTCCTCGGGCCTCAGTCCAGTAGCCTAATTCTTGCCAAATCACTAAAAAAA